AGCAGCTAATGAAAGCTGTAGCATCTAAAACGAAAAAGCGTCTAAAGTGGATGACGGTCGTTTTAGCAAGGGCAATTTCTGATGAGTTTGGATTTTAATCCCTTAATTGTTTCCTTACAGATTGACCACGATTTTGATATTGTTCACCCTGGAAAAGGAAACTTGTTATTCCAGAAATGGGATTTTCTGCGGGAATCAATTATTAACTTTGCGAAGAGACAGTGTTTTCGGAAGGACTTCATGCTCACTCTGAAATCCTTTAACATTGATCTCGACTGTTTTAGTAAGTCTGCTTTATTTGCTAGGTACATCAGTACCCCAGAGTCAAAAGATACCTAACTCCATTCTAGGTATTTTGAGATATCAGGGAAAACTTCCTACGGTGCGATTACCTACGGAGCAAGGAGCATGGCCCAAGTAGCAGTGATCGCGATAAATAGCGATTTTATCGGTTGATTATCGCGATTGTATCGGTGGCAATTTATCGCAATATTATCGAATAAAAAATTGCGATTTATGGCGATTAAATCGCTATACATCGCAATTTTTTGTTCAATAAAATCGCGATCAATTTTCGTCGATAAAATCGAGATTAAATCGCCATATATCGCGATTTTTGTTGCGATGATATCGCGATAAATTGCCGGGCGATAGAATCGCGATTTTATTGCAACAAGATCGAGGATAATCGCTCAGATGTTGATGATCTTAGCGATTTTATCGCCGACAAAATCGCAGCAAATCGCGATTTCTCCGTTGAAAAATGCTACTTGGGGGAAGATCCGTCGCGACAGCTTCGGAATTTTCAAAGCCCTTTGCTCTGAAGGAAATTTTCTTACAGTCCCTGCAGTAAAAATTGCCTATCCAGCAAAGATTCTCGAAAATCTGGAACTTTTTCAAAGCTCTGTTGCGTCGAAATGACGCGTTTTGGAAAATTTTGTGCATTATTTGGTAGCTCTAATTGTTGACGGTCTTTCACGTGCCGTAATCTGTTTTTCTAAATATCACCTACCCAAAAATTTATCGCAATTTTAATATCCGGGAGCGCCCGTAACGTCATTTTCCGAAGACTTATGTCCTTGAAAACACAAAAAATGAACAGTACGCTAAAAAATATGCCCTTGCTCTAAGCTTCAGCTCCTTACAACTAAATAACGAGGAGATGCATCAATTTGAAAGAAAAAAAATGGCAACTTTAGAAGCACATAGCTCACTCATGAAGCGTTTTCAGGCATATGTGTACGGAGAAAAAAAGTCATAATATGAGCTGAAAAATCGATTCTGAAAGTTTAGTACGTTATTTTCCGGACACCCTGTATACTTAAAAGGCAACACTTTTGTCGCATTAGGAGAAAGAACCTAGTTATATTAGTTAATGATCAGGGCAATCTATTTATTATTTTTGGCTCCTGTAACTATCTGTCTTTTAACCAGACCAAGTTTGTCATATGCAACAACCTATTTTTTTCAAAGTGGTAGAAAAGTGCTGGGTCCACACTATTCTGCGGGAAAAGCAAGGCCAAATAATTACCAAAAATTCTCAGTAGCTTTATCAATTTGAACTCTAATGAGTAACAGTCTAAGAGTAAAGGAGAGAGAGTGTTTAGCTCAGGTAGATTCGTTTTCCTATTTTTTCTGTGCACCAAACTAAAAACTGAGGAAGAAAAAGGAGGAGAAGCTGAAGAAGAAATCCATGCATCTATTGAAATTTTTTAGTGTTTCATTGTAGGTATACATTTTGTAACGCATTTTCTCTCTCTTTTTTTTAGATGACAAAATTTTGACTTTGCATGCCCTTTCATTACTGGCTATAATTTCACCCACAGTAACGGTGAAAAAGAAGTGGAGGCCATCGAAAATTGAAGCCAAGGACGGATTCTTCATATTTGCTACCTCAGAAGATGAGGCAAAGGAAAAAGTAGAGAGAAGAAATGCCAAGCTTCAACTCCATGGCATCGAAGCCCTCCCAACAGCAGTTGTAATCACACCTCCCTCACCAAACAATTGGCTACATAAAGTAATTTTGAAAGACATCCACTACGACTGTCCTTCGGCTCTCAAATGTATCGACGTATGTATGAAGCTCTTCGTATTATTGCAGGTCCCAGTGCCCAGCGATAGCCTCTTAACGTG